GCGCGATACGTGCGATTGGCGTGGCGCGAATTGAGCGTTTTGCGCGTTTGACATGCTTAACGCGTTTTACGCGTATCTCTCAAGTTCGAAAATCTATACTTCATTGGACAATTGCGCCACGTTAACCAATCAGGAGCTTGCTCTTGTGGGAGCGTGATTGTGACGTATCGCAGTTCATCATGAGCTTGGCTCAGTCAGAAGCACCGCTGAAAGCCTCTATCATCCAGGTTCAGTTTCTGTTTATGGGCTCACAAAGCTGGATGCACCTCTGCAATGATGTTGTGGACTCAGACACGACCCTAACTGTGTCAACGCTGTTTTTCAGCCTTCATAAAACACATAAACACTGTTATTTTCTTCATAAAATCCAAGTTAGCCATCTGGCAATGAAGCTAGAGTCACCGGGCAGACAGAAGCCCTGCCCATCACGCAAATCCACGTCTGTTCTGAAGTGAATTTGACGAGCGAATGAAGCGGGGTTTAACACGCAAATGAAGCGTGGTATGGCGTGCAAATGAAGCGAGTAAACTCAAATGTTCACGCGGCAATTTATCAGCACGTTCCGCGTCTGGTGTGAACACAGCATCAAAGATGGGGGTTAACATGTATAATTTGCCCTGGAAGCATGCTTTCGATTGAAAGAGCATTATGTACTTACAACCTATATAATGTTCAAACTCTGTCGTGCTTAATAATATTATAAAAATGCAGTTTAATTATTTTTTTTTTTAAATAGTGGCGCAGTAGGTAGTGCTGTCGCCTCACAGCAAGAAGGTCACTGGTTCAAGCCTCGGCTGGGTCAGTTGGCGTTTCTGTGTGAAGTTTGCATGTTCTCCTTGTGTTCGCGTGGGTTTCCTCCGAGTGCTCTAGTTTCCCCCACAGTTCAAAGACATGCAGTATAGGTGAATTGGGTAGGTTATATTGTCTGTAGTGTATGAGTGTGAATGAGTGTGTGTGGATGTTTCCCAGAGATGGGTTGTGGCTGGAAGGGCATCCGCTGTGTAAAAACATGCTGGATAAGATGGCGGTTCATTCCGCTGTGGCGACCCAAATTAACGAAGGGAATAGGCCGAAAAGAAAATGAATGAATGAATGAATACTGTTGTCATTGTTTGTTCAATAAGCGCTTGATGACTACGGTTGAATAGTATAATGACAGTCATTTACATCAACTAATTAGAAAATTCAGAGAAATATATCATTTGCATAATCATTTGGAGCAGTATATATATGTTTATATGCCCTCAGTTCAATTAGTAATTGGTTTTGCTTTGTTTCTGAGTTTGGGGCAGTTTTTTTTGTTTGGATTGTTATCTTTGTTTTGTTTGCTCCGTAAACCACACTGCACTCCTCTCCTTGTCTGATCAACTGTAACAGTAAAACGCGTTAGGCATTTTTTCCTGTCAACAATTAAATACTGCATGAAACTGACAAAGGTTTTAAACCTCAGTGTTTTAGTGTGTTCTTTTCCCTTATTACTGACATACAGTACACATTAATAACCACATTTCATTCATTTCAGAATTTGTTTTACAAAGAGTCAGAATGCTTTCACAAAGCTGATGCATAAATAACAAGACTCGTATTGACCAAATGAAATCGAAAACACTGAAGGCATGGGTGAATGGAGAAAGCGGGGAAATAATAAAAGTTACATTACAGAAGGAAGCCGGATTCAAGGTCACAGTCAACGATATTAACTATTAATTGAGGGTAAAAAGCATTCTCTATTAATATGAAATGAATATTGACAAAAGGGACTGAAACACAAAAGACTCTGTTGCTGTTTATGGTTTTGTTTGTGTCGTTATTACCTTTCCCAGTCCTCTGGGTCCATACAGGCCTTCTGAGAATGTTGTAAAAGGCTTTAATCAACAGAGGCAAACAGATTGTAGTGATTACGGCGGGGTCAGCAAGTTCACAGTATCGAACAGATCACCTGAGTTTAAGCTAAATGAGATGCACAGCACCATTTGAATAATTAAGGAAATGCTATATCAGGTAACCATGGAGGATCGAGCCCTGCAGCACACCTTACGGTAACCACAGAGTCATGTAAATTCACACTGTGACCTCTTAACAATAGCATTAGCTCTGCCAAGTTTCTGCAAGGTTCACAGAAATTGTGGACACCCGCTAGGATTGGCAGTTTTCCACAGACAGCCGAACTGGAGGAGGAGGGTTAGGTAAAGGTTATATGAAACACTATAGCCAGAAGGTCCACTTCTCTCATCAATAATCTGATTCAGTGACAAAGGACTGCAAGCTCCCAATTCACTTGGTGACCAAAGGCCCCAGAGGCAACAGTCACATGTGCTGGCTATTGGAAATCAATACAGGGTATATAATGATGCTCAGGCCAAGCTGTTACATTTGGTGCAGAAATGTGTAGTAAACATCTTCTCATCTGTGGTCAGTTGAAGCCGGCTGGCCCCCTTCGTCCAGCAGATGATTGCATTTTCCCCGTGGGCTCTCAGAGGAGTGAAGTGTGATGATCTTACGACAATCTGCAACACCGTTTAAAGGGTCACTGAGCTGCTATACTGTTGAGCAAAACAGAAATGTTCGCTCAAGCTCATGTGATGTCCACACTTCACTTTTTTTCAATTTCACGTTATTGACATTGCAGTGTCCACTTGTACAAAAAGTTATTTTCATGGCTAAATTTAAGTGCTTATGTTAAAGAAATCGGTTTACTTCATTTACGGCTGGGTATTCATGGTCTTCACTACAAATAATTCAGAGTATGTGATTTATTTGTATAATTTTACAATTAATACAAGTTTTTTTCTTTCAAATTGATATAATCCACCACCACCATTGTGCAGCAACTGCATGAATGATGTGAGATTAGACCGAAAAACAAAGAAAAAAACAAAACAAGAATATTTACTGTTTATTTTCTGCCATTTTTTTTAACCTTAAAATACAATACAATGCAGTGCAGAGTTCAAAATGTTCAGAATTCAATATACATGTAAACAATGAAAACAGAAAATTCTTATTTAAATTGTCATTATGTAGAGTACAAATACAGAGCCAATGAAATGCAGTATTTTTGAGTTTTTATACAGTAAGTTAAGTCCTATTTTAACAGTTTTTGTGACATACTGTATAACGTTCAAGTAATATTGTTTTAATTCACCAGTTATAAACTAGTATACTTAAATTGGTAATATCACCCAGATTATTGTATGGATATTGATGGTTTTCATTTGGGTTTGAGGTGATTACTACAATTATTCATTCATTCATTCATTCATTCATTCATTTTCTTGTCGGCTTAGTCCTTTTATTAATCTGGGGTTGCCACAGCAGAATGAACCGGCAACTTATCCAGCAAGTTTTTACGCAGCGCATGCCCTTCCAGTGTACCCATCTCTGGGAAACATCCACACATACACTCATACACTACAGACAATTTAGCTTACCCAATTCACCTGTACCGCATGTCTTTGGACTGTGGGGGAAACCGGAGTACCCGGAGGAAACCCACGCGAACGCAGGGAGAACATGCAAACTGAGCTGAGGATCAAACCAGCGACCCAGCAACCTTCTTGCTGTGAGGCGAACGCGCTACACACTGCGCCACTGCGCGGCCCCATTACAATCATTATCTAAATAAAACTATTTATTAATTTTGTGATTATGTGTAACATGATATACATAAATCAAGGGTTTTCAGATTTTGTCCTATAATAAATAAGATGTGGAGAGAGTTAGGTCCATGAGGATTGAAAACCACTGTCATTCATGTAGTCTAAATGACAAAAAGTCAGAACTTACTGAACTTTTAACCACTACACAAAGAAAACAGTACTGTACTGGTCACAAGAATTCTCTTAAAAACACACAAAACAGTTTTAAATCAGCTAGTTTAGGGCTAGTCTAGGTAGAGCATATAGCCATGTGAATAGTTTTTTTATGTAGCTTTATTGAATAGGGTCATATTCAACCCTAGTTCATCTGGATTAACTTAAGCTCATTCTTTGTGTCTTTCCCAATGGGCTGAAAGTTATTTATAATATTTTCGTGAATATGCTAGTGGCCTATAAGACATTTGTACTGTTTGCTGTAATGCACTAAACTAAAGGTATGTCCATCTTGAATATTTCAATTGGTTTTACTTTGGGGGAAGTTTGAAAGGGGTTTGACCCACCCCTCACTGTACACAAAGGTTTAGAATTTGTTCCAAACATGAGCTCATTTGTCCTTTTTTGACTGCTATGCCATTATAAATAGTGAAAATAACCAATTGAAAAAGTCTTTAGGACTGAGCGAAATCCTCTGTTGGCTTCAGCTAATCATGTATGGCCAATGCAAATAATTATTATAAGTCCAATGTCAAGCTGTGCAAGAAAACATACAATCTGATTTAAGCGAAGTCATCTTTCGCTATTGTTTTTAAATGGAGGAAACATTTTACAAGTAAATTTTATTTTAAATGTTGAAAAAAAAGACCAAAAAGGTGTGAAAAGTGGCCAATGTTAAAATTAATTTGAATGCTAATTTGGCTATTGTTATTTGACTAATAAATGACAAAAAGCTAGATTTTAATTTAAATTGTTTTTTTTTTTCTAATGATATATAATGTAATAAATTTGTAGGTAAAATGTATTATTCATGTTTCTTTACATCAAAAAACGCAACAAGTAAATCTAGCTAAAACTAGTGCTTAAAATGACACTAAAATGCAGTATTTAAATGATAATAATGTAAATAACTGCAAAAAGGTCCACTTTTTGACAAAAAACGAACTACCCCAGGCTGGCTACGGCCTGTATAATAAACATCATGTAAACAAGCCAGAGCTAAAGCGCTAATTTATAGTCATTTGGAACTTTTCATAATATTTTTTCTAAGGTCCAAAATTGCTATTTAAGTATTATTACAATAATGTTAAACAATGACGTTTCCATCCTTGTTCTTATTGCTATTTTTGTGGATGATGAACTTGTTTTCACGGGTCTGTCACCCAGACCGCGCAAAGCGCGTCTGTCGCTCATCAGTTCGGCAAGTCTCGGCTGTGTTCGGCTGATTCCGCGAGTAACAAACGCTCCACCATTTTGCATAGTTACGCGCGTGTTGAAGGCTCCCCTGCTCCTGTGATCAGTATCACACCGTGAAGAACGTTTTCCCTGCAATGGACGGGTAAGTCTGCGCCTTTTGCAGAATATTTGCTAATATGCCATTTCTAAGCATAACCTAATCTGTATTTGAAACGATTTTAGTCGCGTTCTGTGAAGGCCGCTCGACACACCGGTGAAGCAACAGCCAACACAGGCTAATAATAACAAATGCGCGTTAACCTTACCTGGGTGAATCAAATTATGCCGCTAAATAGATCAGATATGTTTTACGAATACTAAATACGAACTCTCCTAATAATGCAACATCGGTCTTTGAAATGCGTCATGCTATTTGCGCAACAAATGTATGTAACGTTAATGTAGTTTAGCTGTGCGGCTAACGGTACTGCTATTATGCGGGCGCGTCTCCATTCCCTTTGTCTGAAATATAACGGGCACTCCATGTCCGCGAGCTGAATATAAATGCATTTGTCGTTTTCATTTATCGATTGAGTTTTATTGGGCTTAATATTATTACAAAACTGCTCCCATTCTGTCCGCAGTTAAGAGGACGTTAAAATGGTAATTATTTTATGTTGTGCTATTATCTTGTAATAATGTTAATTATAATTTCATAGGTATTATGCGTTCCGATGTGGTATCGATGTGTATGTGATTGATTGCAAGGGTATTGGATCAAACATCCATAAGTTACATGCATTTTTTCTGTTTTTCCTCTCTACAGCATTGCAAGTGATGTTGCAGTTGGTGTGAAGGTAAGTGGTTTGTCTTCGCACGACTGTAACGTTTAGATATTGTTATGAAAATACATGCAAGAAAAAACATGGATGCATGAACCCCCAGATCACTATATTATCATAATGGATTCTGTGATGTAAATAAAGGAAATAAAAACAAAAATATGACTTAAAATATTTAAATGTTTTGCTGAATTTTCATTTCTGTCTTTCTAGAGAAGCTCAGATGACTTGCTGTCTGGCAGTCTGTACAGTAGTCCAAATTCTTCAGTCACTGGTAAGAGAAATAAATGTGGGCATCACATTAGAATCTGAATGCATGAAATGCACAAAAATGAATCTGAATTCATGAAATGCACAAAAACGAAACATACGCTACCTGCACATAGATAGTGTCAAAGATTGGAGTTTTTTGTCAGTTACAAAGTCTACACACACACACACCCATTAATTGTTCGGAACATTTTTAAAGTGCCTTTCATTATGCTAATATGTTTTTCCAAATAATATCTTTCATTCAGTATGCAATGTAACTGGTTGTGAATCTGAAATGTTTGCAGAGTTTAAAAAATTTAAGGGTGCACAACAAATACATTTGTTCTGAAATTATTCTGAACTGCTAAACAGACATGTCAGCATTTCCAGTTTTGCATAATGCCAAAATGACAAAAGTGTTTTTTAGTTTTTGCCAAAAATCATTAGATTAAAAGTAATATTTTATAAAGAAATTGTATACGTTTTGTACTGTAAATTAATCAAAACCCAATTTTCATTTACACACCTTTGAAGATGATTATTAAATACTTTTTTTAACCCTCCAATTTTAGATGTTCAAATAACTTTATCTTAGCTAACATTTTTTTCCAAGTTTTTTTTCAACATTGTTGCTAGCAGCAGGAAGTACATTGCATAGAAATGTTCTGTAGGCAGGTTATTTAAGTGGACTTTTCTTTTCCAGTGAACGTGTGTGGTCTATGCATCAACAGATAGAATAGAGCAGAATATTAAGCTATTTTAAACTTTGAGCATGGCACACACTTCTCACTTTTGCACTTTGGTTGACACAGCAAAATTCTATTTGGCATATACGTAGTGGAACAGCATAACCACTTTTTCGACTTATTTTTGGACAGTTTTCCTACTGGCCGAAAAACTGAAACCGCTGTTTTCAGTAACTAAAAATTCACCACATCCCTAATTAACATGATGATAGTTACATGATGATAATATTTCAAATGTAAAGATAAAGCAATGTACCAAATTGTTAATTTAAATGTAACTACATAGTCATTATAGGCCACTTAATATTAAGTTGGACTGAAGCATTTGTAGTCAAGGCCAAACATTTTATTATTTAACATCTCAAAACTCCCATTAATATCACTAAATCATACTTGAATGGTTGAATCAGCACTTTTTCAGCAGTGATAAAATGCATCTGATTGTCCATTGTGTTCATAAACTCTCATTTTTCTCTAAACATCAAACTGACAAATGTCTTTCTCAAGTCATGATTGCGATGAAGGTTTGAGTTAAACTAGCTCTTCATTTAGTCTTTGGACTTGAATTGCTATCTTAAACATGTACATCCTGTCCTACAGTGTGTTATGTGCGATGAGGAGCTCCACAGTTAAAATTCAGATATGGGTTTGGACTTTTTGTTTGAGACATGCACTTTAAACCAAAGATGCCAAAGTAGGGCCCGCAGGCTAAAGTTGTCCCATGGTAACCTTTGATTTGGCCCACCAACACATCTGAAAGAGAGAGAGAATAATGGGCAGCTGGTTTGTGCAAATGCATTTGACCGAGATAGTCGTTTTGAATTTAAGGTAATGTTTTTTTCTTTGTTTTTTTACTCCATTGTGTTATAAATGGAATCGTTTATGTCTTTACTGTAATAAGTTCATTATAAAATATTCAAAATGATACTGCATTAGTTAATAAGATTTAAAGCAATGTTTTCTAGTAATTTTTTTAATATTAGGCAAATTTAACATAATATGGTTTGTATATTTGCCTTGGTCCCACAGCCCTTAATCAAGTTTGGCTTTTGGCCCTTTATAAGAAAAAGTTTGGGCACCCTTGCTTTAAACAGTAGACCAATTACAGACGAATAGAACATCTGCCCAAAGCAGCGTAGGAATCTCATAAAGAAGCAGTATAAAAGGATAAAAATAGGAATAAGGATAAAAAAAATAGGAACATTTAGGATAGCATTATAGGGACATTTTAAAGTAAGAAGCTCTGGTTTAGTTCTCTTTTTAAAACAGCTAAAACACCCAAGCTTAGTGCATTCCATGGCAAGGATTTGAAAAATATGCAACAGAATGATTTATTGATAACAAATAATTTTTATTTCACCAAGCAAATGGTTTTTAACATGCAGTGTCAGCAACACTAATGCAGTGGCAGGGTAATACTGATGGAACACGGTCACAGGTGTTTTTATATTTATTTGAATGTTTTATTAAATGTGACTCAGCCAATCATAATCAAGGACTGAAAAATTCTGTTGCCTAATCTAATCATTTTTTACAAGTGTGAACAATCTGTCTTGATCTGCTGATAATTGAAAATGTTACTATTTTGTGTGTTTCAGTCCTTTTAATGATATGGCAATTAACTAAGGTCACTCATATATATATATATATATATATATATATATATATATATATATATATATATATATATATATATATATATATATATATATATATATATAAATATAATAAATTATTATAAATAAAACAGTGCAAATGGATTTTGAGAATGCATCCTGCTTGAATTTACCATAATATTCAATATTAATATATAGCTAAAATATTACTATAGATTTCACATTAGGGATCTTGATTAAAGGAACGCTCCCCTTGTTTTGGATATATTAATTTGGATAGGCTATTAATGGATAGGCTAATTTTAAAACTCCCCTAGAATAATGGCAGTAAAGTTCCTTGATTATTACACCAGAATAAAAGTCAGGGTGCACCAGAAAGCAGGAGAAGGGGTGTGTTTCAGGACACAGATTAGCTCAAATTTAACAGGGAGGGAAGACAAAACATTTCCATGCACGCGAAACACTCGCTCTTTTTCAGCAATGCCCATGCGGTCACTTATCCATCGATGTAGAAAATTGATGTAAAAATATAATTTTCGTAATTTAAAAAAAATATTTGCATACTGACCACCAGGTAAACTTCCAATCAAAGATATATGTATATATGTGCATATCTGGCACTGGATAACCAGTCTTCCACTGCACCCTGGTCCCACATTTATTTTAAAGGGGTGCTACCCTGTACTAAAATGGCGGCTCTATTGATGCATTCCTTCAAATAGACAACAATGGCATAGGTGACATCTAATGTAAATATCTATGATGAAGCTTAAGTTTTTTTTTTAACAGAAACGCATTAGGTTGAATCCATTTGGACCAAAAGCCAACAAACCAACAAATACTGGATTTGAGAATTTTACAATTTTTTACTCTCTTTTTTACTTTTTTCTATCAATAATTTTTCAGTAAAAAATTCATGCAAATTGTCTTGGGGTTGTACTAGATGGTATGCTTTAGTTTAATTCACATATCTGGCTTTTTTCACTTGCGTAACATTGCAAGACTTCGCCTTTCACTATCCCAACAAAGTACTGAAGTGCTTGTACATACTCTGGTTACATCAAGGATTGATTATTGCAATTCCCTCCTATCTGGTATCCCTCTTAACCAACTTTACAGATTACAGCTAATCTAGAACTCAGCAGCTAGGATGGTCACCCACTCGTGTGCTTCTGAACACATATCCCTAATTCTCTTTCACTTGCGTTGGCTTCCTGTTCTTTTTCATGTGCAATATAAAATTCTTCTGTTAACTTACAAAGCTCTTCACAACCTGGCACCCGATTACCTCTCTGATCTTTTATACTGGTACACTTCTCGGTGCTGAGATCTTCTGCGGCTAAATTGTTATCAATTCTAAATTTAAAGATGAAATCATTTGGTAGCAGGGGTTTTAGCTGCATAGCACCATAGTTATGGTATTCCCAGCCTTTAGATATTCATCAGGTGGACTCTTTCTCCAATTTTAAATCCCAGTTTAAAACCGTTCTGTTCAGAATTGCTTTTAATGATTTTTGCTTGGTTTAACATTGTTTATTATTCCTCTGTCTTGTTTTTTAATTTGTGCCTGTGACATATTGTAAGGTGTTCTTGAGTGCTTTGAAAGGCACCTATAAATAAAAGGTATTATTATTATTCTTTTTAATCATGTAATTTTCTCTGTAATATACTTTTAAAATTTTAAACTTTTCTAAAAAAAATGAAACACATAAAACAGTGTATACAACTAGAGATTTTTTGTTTTGACACATTAAAATATGTGGCTAAGAAGTAACTATATTTGATTTTTGTGGCAAGCAAAACAAAAAATTCCATTGGCCCAACTGGGGTTTAGCCATGTACAAGGCCAACATTTTATTTATAATGGTTTTAAAAGGGTATTAAAATATCTCAAATTTGACTTGATGAAACCTTCAGAAACCCTGGAAAGTATAGTTTCTAGTCATATTGGCCAAAAACAGCAACTTTGTATTTTGCTTCAATCTTAGAACATGATGTAACTACAGTAGAGTCAAGCTTTAAATAGGAAAATTATGTAAACTCCTTGGTCACTTTTGAGTGTAATGCTAATTGTGTAATTCAATCTAATGATCTATGCTAGGGTTGGGGGATGTCGACCAATTTAGCATTGTACGATGTCTAATGTGAAACAACGCAATCGCCATATGTGGCAGTGAATTAATTGAAGTGCAAGCGTGAAAGGAAATGATTGACGCAGTGTACTGACACTGTTACACATTACCTGATTTAAAAGATCGAAGAGTCATTACATAGAGACAAGATTAATTAAATATCATGTTGAACAACTATAGTGAGACGCGATTCAGCGATATATCCTTAAAAAACTGTCCGACGTGCACTGCTCTTTGGGGTTTTGAGCTCAAAGCACCTGCAGGCTGCCTGGAGCTCAAACGTTGTATGCTGCAGTGCTTGCCTGTGTGTGGTTACGTGATGTGCGTTTTCAGTGGTTAAAATGCTAGATGAAACGCCAGTGTGGATGTGGAACATTATCATTCTGAACAGCAATTTTAAAGCTAAGACGTATTAGTGTAAATGGGGCCTAAAGCCTGGTTTATACTACTGCGTCAAGTGATCGACATGACCTACGACGGATGCAATGCTCGTAGCCGTGCATTTATACTTCTGCATGCTGTTTCTGTTGCTCTGCAATAACACTTCCGAACTGCTAGCTGGCAGTGAGGTGTTTATGTTCTTCTGGGACGAGTTTGTTCACTGGTGTTTTGTTTCTAAACGCTACCTTAATGTACACTTGGCTCAAACTCGCTCATTTTGAGGCTGGAATCGGCAGAAGTGCAACAACTTTAATCATAAGGTAAACACAAAACGACAGTCTCCATCCGGAACTCCTTTATGGGACTCTTGTAAACACTCGATGTATCGGGCTCGCACGCATCTCATCTCCGCCCACACTCGTCAGCGCTACCGAGCCAACCAATCACAGAGCTTACACTATGCGTCGTTGCGACATGTAGTTAGATGTTTTAAGAGGTGCACGTCAACATTGCCAACGGCCACAGCGAGGGCTATGCGTCCACGCATAGGCTGCACCGTATAGTATAAATCAGCCTTAAGTGTGTTTTTTTTTTTTCTTGAGCGGGTTGCTGCTGCGATGGGGGCAGGGTAGAGGATTGCGATGTCGGCTCAGCATCGTAATGTCTATCGGTCATCGGCAATGGATGATTGCATCGTCTATCGACCCAACCCTAATCTATGCTAAGCTAAAGTGTCCTTGAAGGACCTAAAAATTGGCTGAAAAGATTAAAAAATGGTAAAACTCAACGGTTTATCTTGGGAAGTTGTAAAAAGTCTATTTTCCAAAAAAAGGTAAAAGCTTTTTGATAAAAGCTAAAACTCTGTATTGGAATTTCCCTATATATTGACAAATAATACAGGTCAAATTGTTCTTTTTTTGCTCATTAGATAATGTACAAACCTGATAATACCAATTTAAAGTCACATTTTTAAATTCAACTGTATTCCTGATATACTTACAGCTAATGGAAGTGACAGTAAAAAACTGAGGGTGGAGGACAGCATGGACAGCCCACCATCAAGAGTTATTCATATCCGTAAACTCCCCAATGAGGTTTCTGAGACTGAGGTCATCGCCCTGGGATTGCCCTTTGGAAAGGTCACAAATATACTAATGCTTAAAGGCAAAAATCAGGTATGTGATGGGGTAACAATAAAATCAACCTTTACTGTGATGCAACAAATCTGAAATTCAATGAAGGGCCTAAAAACTTTTCACATTGGTGCACAAAGTTCATACTTAACTGCATTTGAGGAAAAAAAAAGGCTGTTTTTTCATTTTGAACACTTTCTCTCAATTAGGCATTTTTAGAGCTGGGAACCGAGGAAGCAGCTGTTACCATGGTGAACTACTACACAGCTGTTACACCTCAAGTGCGTAATGTCCCAGTGTTCATTCAGTACTCCAACCACAAAGAGCTCAAGACAGACAGTGCACTCAACCAGGTTCGCAAAACACCCTTTTAATGCTTGATGGTAAAATGTAGCAGCAGCGGAAGTGTGTAACTGGCATAGCTCTCATCTTAATCTGTTTCCATGCTTTTCTTCTGAAGCGAGCTCAGGCCGTGCTGCAGGCGGTGTCAGCTGTCCAGGAGGGCGGCTCTCCAAGCTCGGACATGGCCAGCAAGAGTGTGTTAACGCCTGCCCCCAGCCCAGTACTGCGAATAATCATCGACAACATGTTCTACCCAGTCACCCTGGACGTCCTCCAACAGGTCACTGCCCACAGCAGGCATCCATCTGGAATAAACTGCAGTTTTAAAAGAAAACAAGCCAAATGTATTTTTACACTCCCATGCCTCTGAATTAACAGGCCTTTGCACTGATTTCTCTTAGATCTTCTCCAAGTTTGGGACGGTCATGAAGATAATCACGTTTACCAAAAATAATCAGTTTCAGGCTCTTCTGCAGTTCAGTGACCCAGTAAATGCCCAGCAGGCCAAACTGGTGAGTGAACGAAGAGGCGGACTGAAAGCACCGCAAACTCCATAAATGTGTAATGATCTGCCGAAGCACTGTTATGAGATTTTTAATGTGATGGTTATGGCCACAGGCGAATTATGATCCAGTCATATGTTAGTTTAGTACCTTTTCTTTCATTTATGTGATGAAATGACTGCAGTTGTCATTACTTGTAGAGGAGCGATTTTATTACTTTTAGCAGGGCCCTACATTATGCTCCGGCTGTAATTATTCTTATCCTCGTTCACCCTTGTCATAGAATAACAAATGTGATGCGCTGTCTCGCTCTCATCCTCTATCTCTGTCTTTCAATAAAGTCCTTGGACGGCCAGAACATTTACAACTCTTGTTGCACTCTGCGCATTGACTTCTCCAAGCTGGTCAACCTGAATGTAAAATACAACAATGACAAAAGCCGGGATTATACCCGACCCGAGCTGCCAGCGGGAGATGGCCAACCACCAGTGGACCCGTCTATGGCCGCCGCTCTCAGCAAAGATTCCCCCTCCCTGCTTGGTATGTTAGACAACACTCACGTGTGTATGTAATGTAAATGTGGCTCAATCACACCTTTAAAGTCCGCGTGAACCGTAAGTTGTTGAGACTTTTATTTCAGTATGTTAAGTGTTCAGTATGTTCTACCAAATGAAACAGAATATTGAGTAGGGGGTGGGGCTTTCTTTTTGCACATCATTACGAATATTCTGGCTGAAGCTTTTAAATTCACGCTAACATAATAAACATTGCTCCAAAAGTGGAAGCAAATGGTCAGATTTTAAATTGAAGATTACCAAATCAGGCTTTATTATCAGTGGATTAAATTACAAAGATTTATTGTTCATTTGTACTTCTGATTGTTCACGAAAGCAATGTGCACTAGCCAAACACAGATTGTAAATTTTGATTTCACACGGACTTTAAGACCCATCTTCCCTGTCATTCTCTGACATGCATCATCATCTTCTGTCTGCATAGCTTCAGTTTCAGAGCAGGGTAGAGGTGTGAATGCTTTGCCTTTATTGTGTGTTATTCATGAAGAGTTTTCTAGTTCTTAGTGGAAAATGGGTCAATGGTGCCTGAAATGCAATCCTGTCTAATTGATGTGCCATTCAAACTCGTTCCTTTTACGTTTTTTTGCCGCTTCCACGGCCCCCAGTCTGTGTTTGATCCCGAAAGACTTTGACTGTACACGTTCTCCGTAGGTACTCCCTCTGGAATGGTAACTTCCTACTCTAGTGGTGGAGGGTTTCCATCTTCTCTAGGTACCTATGCTTCCATTTACTTTCCTTTTTTTCTTTTGATTTTCTAACGCTGCTTGAATGCGCTCTTCCCTCTGAAGGACAGGGACTTTTCCAGTGCTGTCAGAATTGGCAGGGCTTTCATGTTGAAACCACCCCAACCATTTGTCCTGACTTGACATGCAAGCTTCATAAACAGTGTCGCTATTTGTCAAAGCATAAATCTGAAGCTGCAACAATAAGCCCTTCCATTCTGCATTATAGGCCTGACGTAATGGATTGACACGCACACTAATTAGGGACCTGTATTTCAGACAGACTGGCAATCCAAACTGCCAAACACCAGTTCCCTTAGCTAAAGCAGAGCTGCCTATTGAGCGGCTAACTACAGCAAGCAGAAGGGCCCCAAAAAGCAATTTGGCTTTCAGATATTGCTCCAGAGCTTCAGTCTGTGTGAAATCGGTTCAGATAGCGATCTGCCTAGCAGCAGATATTGACTCTGGGATGTGGGTTTGCCCGAGGTGTGTGGTTTTTGGCTGGATAACTGGATGTGCTTGGTGTGGTGGGTGCAGACAGGTAGAATGCATGGCCACAGGGCAGATCCGGCTGAGATGCTGAGCTGTCGGCTCTTCTGGGCTAAGTGGGCTGACAGGGTTCTTCCTCTCCATCTCTCTCTCTCTCTCCCTATAGGGGCCATCAGCCCTCTGAGCGCAGCAGCGGCGGCAGCAGCAGCAGCAGGGAGGGTAGCGTTGTCCGGTCATTCAGTACCTGGCGGAGTGCTACTGGTCAGCAATCTCAATGATGAGGTCAGTGCACTCTCAAAACACACACAAACACATCCCTGCTCTCTCTGTTCAGTTTTCTCATTGTGTCGATCAGGTCACACTGTATGTCTCTGGTTTTATATGTTTAGTCCTCATCTGTTAAAGATCATTTTTTTAATTAAAGGGACCTCAACATCACCTTCAAAATGTTTAGCAGCAGAGCAGCGTTAACTTGTTTCTGTTGTTGTGTTGGCATTTAAAAAGAGGAGTTCTTGGTGATGTCATATTGTTAATTTGATGATTATTCAATCATTTATTGATATGATAATTGTTAAATTCTGAGGCTGGGTAAAAATAGCAATTTTTAGAATTCGAATTATGATCTGACAGATCCAGTGAGCACATCAGTGAATTAAGTAAAAGTAAATTGTTATACACACAGGCGATACAGTGGTGCAGTAGGTAGTGCTGTCGCCTCACAACAAGAAGGTCGCTGGTTTGAGCCTCGGCTCAGTCGGCGTTTCTGTGTGGAGTTTGCATGTTCTCCCTGCATTCGCATGGGTTTCCTCCGGGTGCTCCGGTTTCACCTACAGTCGAAAGACATGCGGTTTAGGTGAATTGGGTAGGCTAAATTGTTCGTAGTGTATGAGTGTGTGTGTGGATGTTTCCCAGAGTTGGGTTGCGGCTGGAAGGGCATCCACTGCGTAAAAACGGGCTGGATAAGTTGATGGTACATTCCGCTGTGGCGACCCTGCCCTAATAAAGGAATAAGCCGACAAGAAAATGAATGAATGAATGAAATTGTTATACACATAATACAATTGTTGTAACTATTTTATTTATCGTGTGTTTTGATTGCCAAAATGTTAAAATATCTACAATGTGAAAATAAAAGAATTGCACCTAAAATGTTTACTGTGAAAGTCTTCTGAAGAGACACAATTATTTAAAAAAATTTCACTGCAATTGTTACTAGTTGGCACAAACATTTTGGATTTTCACAACTTTCATGATGCCCAAAATATTTAGTTTTTTTGAATCCGCTTGTTAAGAGTGACATCCATTCGCTCTATCAAACTGTATGGGGTAACTCAAAATCACAATCGCAATATATATATATATATATATATATATATATATATATATATATATATATATATATATATATATATATATATATATATATATATGTATATGCCTAATATCCAATGGCCAGAAAGTAATAAATTTTTTATAAATTGTTAAAATTTGGGTATTTGTTATGCAGCAAGTCCAGAGACTGTTGTGTACACTGATTTTATATAAAATTCACTTTAATGTGTGATAGAATTAAAAATGGCCGTAAATTAATATTTTCTAATTTCAAATGAGTAGCAGCTTGGACCAGAAAACAGTATTCCATAAATCACAGATACGTCACGACTTAACAAGCGTATATATAAATCAAACGCATCTGCTTTTAAAAAAAAATCTGTGCTTGAATATGGATATTTAATTAACAAAACATTAAGAAAGTTTTAAACAAAAAGTAGTTATTTCTTTTTCAGATTCAAAATAGTTCCAAAACATAGATTGAGTCGATTGCCATCAACACTCTTCAAACTTGCACATGCACTTGAACAATACCTTTGTTTTTGTTTTTTTTTGTTTTTTCAGTTTGTTTTTTGGTTGTTAGGATCACGCAACTCTTTCTAATGGCAATTTGTAACTTTTTGATTTGGTGGCCAATTTGAACAATCTTATTCGAACAATCTCCCAGTAACGGTTGGGTTTAGGGGCGGTGTTGGGTAAAATTCATACATTTTCGTACGATTGAACTTTGTACAAATTTGTACTAATTAGCCACTAAAATGACAAAACGTAAAATAGTTAAATTTCCTCATGCAATCAGGCTGGATCTCGAGTTTACCTACTATTTTTCAATAATGCTTCAATGTGCCCGTACTGTTTAAAGATTGAGCTTGTACGAATTTGCACTAATTAGCTAACTAAAATGACAAAACATAAAATAGTTACATTTTCTCATGCGATCAGGCTGGATCTCGAGCTTGCGTACTATTTTTCAATAATGCTTAAATGTGCCCGTACTGTTAAACGATTGAACACGTATGAATTTGTACTAATAGCCACTAAAATGACAGAACATAAAATAGTTACTTGTGTACTATTTTGTGTAGGTTACTTGTGTACCTAATGTGTTCTCAAGTCTAATGTGAGGGTGAATAAATGACGAGATGATTAATTCTTTTGCGTGGATCATGGAATACGTTGTGTCAGACTAGTACACAAATCAGTACCCAGCACTACTAATTGCATCGTCAGGACTTCCTTTATTGCATAATACTTTAATCAGATTTCTGCGTTAGATTTGCTCTCTTGCTAAACATTTTGAACCTGACTTCAAAGTCATTTCAGTCACTTTTCTGATGTGCACTAGATTCAGAATGATTTATTCAGTCCCAGACAATACAAACTGAGCAGGTGACTTGTCTTGACACGATTTCAGATTGACCTTTGTCTCATTTCCATCCTCAATGTATATCATGTATTGTGTTCAATGTTATTTCAGTATATTTGCAGATAGCAGTGAATTGATAGTCAGTAATGATGAATTAAACCCTGTAGCTCTTTATGTTCTCTATTGTGACATTTACTTTATACTTGCAGAAATATACTGAAAGCATTCTCAGTAAGGTTTTCGTCAAAATGGAGGGTCTCTCTGCAGTCTCTCCTCTGTGCAAATTTTGATCACTGTCTCTCTCTCCTCTCTCTTTATCTCTCCCCCTCTCTGCTCTCTCTCTCTCTCTCTTTCTCGCACCTTTTCATGAGCGCTCTGTCTGGAAGTAATATCTAACTGTCTTTTCTCTCTAAGCTGTATCTCTCTCTTCCTCTCCTGATGCTCCACTGCCTCTCTCTAAGCTATTCAAAGTTGGTATGAAACATGGTAGCTCCACCCGCCTCTGTCATTTCTCTCACACTTTCTCTCTCTCACTATGATTTCTCTGTCTTTTTGAAGTGTCCCAGTAATTTCCCCATCATGGTTTTTGTTTTCCCAAACACTTGTGGGTTTGTGGAAGTTTTCAACATGACGTGCTCTCTATTGATGCCATAACTCTGCAAGGTGGTTTTCATGCCTACCCGCTGCATGACCCCGCCCCCTTTACAGCTATAGGCTGCTTTGTTTTGTTTGGTTTTCCCCTTTAACGCTTTTTCTTCTCGTACTAAAGCTTTCCACTGGCTCTGCATGCTTTGTCCTCTCAGCGTTTTTGTGCTGCAGTTAGTCTGAGTAAATGTACCCTGCCCACGTTCGGTCTCGAGTGACTACGTTTGGCACTGTTAAACATAGTCGGGGGAAGCAAAAGCAAAAAAAGAAAAGAGAACCCTACCATTTTCTGACCAAACTCCTGCATTTCCTGTGTACTGACCTGTATATTATTTTTGTTCCCCCTTCCAACTTTTGTTTCTTATTCATTTCTTTATTTTTTTTTGTTTTTCTTTTATCCCACGCTGCTTCCAACCCCTCCTTCTCCCTCTCTCCTCTTCTGTGATTGGTTGGCCCTTTCTCTCCTGCAATCCTGTCTCCCCGCCCTCCACCCATTCATGCTTTGTGCCTGAACCAAAACAAATGTTCCTCCTCGGACCGACTTGCCCCAATTAACTGCCTTGACCCATGCTCCATGACCACCTCACCATTCTACGGGAAACCACCCTCCGTTATGGATGATCTGTTCATCTCCGCTCTACCTCGACTCTTCTCTCTTCCTGTCTTACGCTGCTTGCTCTTCTCTCCTTCTAAAGATGGTTACGCCCCAAAGTCTGTTTACCCTCTTCGGTATGTTATCGTTAGCAATCTACCTCTTTTTGTTGATCTATTGTTAATTTCATTTCAGTTGTTCTTTTGTTTACTCTTTCATTTGCCATATCTCTAGACTAGTTGTTAATAATCTGGCTCTAATGTAATTTCCAGTTTCATTTGTTTAGTTCTATTATGCCAAAATTTCAGCTGATGAGAAAATGTCCAGTTTTTTTGGTTGATTTTCCTTGGCTTTTGAAGCCTCTGTCTCTATCTTGCTCTATCTGTCTCTCTTCATGTACAGCTTATATTAATGCATGGTTGATTATTTTGCATGTAGGCTTTTGATTTTAACTTTGCCATATCACATGAGCTTGTTTTTTGGAGGGCGTTTCAGAATAAGTTGTGTCTGTTAGAAACACTGTTTTGGACTCTTTGGTGTAGATAATTTGGAAGATTTGTACCATCATCTTCACCTTTCATGTCAGAACCGGAGCTTCTGAAGCACTAACTTGTCCTTCCTGGTTCACTCCTCTCGTCCTCCCTCCTTCCCTCCCTCTTCCATCTGCCTCTCACTTAACTGAAGGTGTCTACGGTGACGTGCAACGCGTGAAAATCCTTTACAATAAGAAGGACAGTGCTTTAATCCAGATGTCTGATGGAAACCAGGCCCAGTTGGGTAAGCGGACAGTGTTATTTTTGTGTTTGATGTTTTTATTATAGGGTTACTCCATCAAAAAATAAATAAATAAAATAAATTGCGTATTTTCACACTGTAATTTCTTTCCGAGACCTTTTTTTGGGAATACAAATTGAGATATTTTTGGTGAAATCGGAGAGCCTCCTCATCTTCCATAGACAGCAAGGGTGCCAGCTCATTTAATGTAAACAGGGTGTCTGTGGGGTCTTAAAATGTCTTAAATTTAAAAAAACAAAATTTTTGGCCTTAAAAAGTCTTAAATTCACTGAAATATTATGTTGTAGGTCTTAAATCATTTTAAACAGGTCTTAATTTTCCTATATCCATGAAAAGTTACCCAATCGGACAAACATCCATCCAATCACCAGCAATACAAAAGTTTATTTACCAATATGGTTTAAGTATCTTCCTTACAATAGCATTTGTTTTCAACAGTTTTTTTTACGTTTTAACTAGGCCATTAAAAGTCCCCTTAGTGTTTAGTCCTGTGGAAGTAAAAAAATTCACTCATAATGGTCTTAAAGAAGTCTTAAAGTCTTAAATTTGACTTGATGAAACCTGCAGAAGCCCTGGTAAAGGCATGTACCAAATACATCCTCAAAACATTCCATATGCCTTCAGTGGACCTATATTATCAAGCTACAAGCATCTTTTTGTGTGCACATAAAACAAAAATGACAACTTCACAGTTTCTTCTCCTCAGTGTCAGTATAGGGTGCATGTGCACGAAACACAAGGGAGTCAGACGCATGGTCAAATGCGACAGATGAATGTGTGGACCATATACTGACACTGAGGAAAGGCATTATTTTTGTTTTATGTTTACAGAAAAATATTCTCGTAGCTTGAAAATAGTCTGATTGAACAACTAAATGCATGGACTATCTCGTTGTTAATGATGGTTGGGGAAGATCTCAGATTTCACCTAAAATATGTTAATTTGTATTCTGAAGACCCCGAAGGTCCTATGCTTTGTTCACACCAGATGCGGAACGTTTAAGTTTAATCTCTTCATTCGCGCGTCAAAATCCTCTTCATTCGCGTGTCAAATCTGCTTCAATCAAACGTTTAATTCACTTCACAACAGATGCGGATTCTCGTGATGTGCAGGGCTTCTGTCTGCTCGGTGACTCTAGCTTCATTGCTAAATGGCTAACATAGATTTTATTGAGAAAATAACTGTGTTTATGTGCTTCATGAAGGCTGAAAACAGCGTTGATTTGTTTGCAGCAGTGTCTGAGTCCACAAGATACTTTCAGAGGTGCACCCAGCCCTGTGAGCTCACAAACTCCTTCAGAAACTTAACCTGGATGATGGAAGCATTCAGCGATGCTTCTAACTGAGTCGAGCCCAGTTTGAAGGATTTCCCCCCGAGACACCAACAACAAGCTCTGCATCATAATCACACCCCCACAAGAGCAAGCTCCTAATTGGTTAACACGGCGCAAATGTCCGCTGAAGTTCAGATTTTTGAACTCGAGCTATTTGTGCTATTCGCACTTTAAGCGCGTCAAACGCGCAATTCACGCCGCGCCATTCACGCAGTTCAAGTCCTTCGCGCAGCAGGATGTCTATTTTGCATGTCCTTTGCATTGACTTAATATGTAAATCACTCATGCTTGATGCTTCTTCCGCATCTGGTGTGAACACAGCACCAGGGATTTGGAATGGCATGATTTTTTTTAATTTTTTTTTTATTTAGGGTGATCTTACACTTTAATGATGCACCAAAATCAATATTCTGAGCCAAAAACAAAAAAAAGTTGACGCTTGTTTCATGTTACAAGCAACAAAGCACAAGGGTCATTTAGCACAGACTAAATAAAATAATCTTTGAGATTTAATAATCCATAACAATATCAATTATAATTGAGACTTAAATATTGTCATCCAAGTGTTGAAATCCACACAGCTGCTTTATTGTGTGCATGAAATAGATAAATATTCCATCAGAGAAACATGAATTCCATTTAACTGTTTTGGTCAAACATTTTGTGTCTTCTTGTTTTAGCCATGAGCCATCTGAACGGGCAGAAGATGTATGGCAAGATCATTCGTGTGACCCTTTCGAAGCACCAGACGGTACAGCTACCCAGGGAAGGTTTAGATGATCAGGGCCTGACAAAGGACTTCACTAGTTCTCCACTGCACCGCTTCAAAAAGCCTGGCTCTAAAAACTTCCAGAACATCTTCCCCCCTTCAGCTACACTTCATCTCTCTAACATACCGTGAGTATGCAGGAGAACAATAATTTGTTGATTACGTTAGTAAAATTCGTACTGTATTGCTGGTAAAGCAGATTTGCGATGTCCTAATGAATGCAAGTGGCCATTTTTCTGTACATTTTTGTAATTATTGTATTATTCTGGCATCATAAATCTTGGACCTACTGCTGACCATCCTTTTAAATGAATTGTCAGTTTTGTCCCTCGCAGTGTACCAGTTCAAATCTGAGATTAAAATGTGGCTACCAAGGAACATTTGTTTTCTTTTTTATTGGTTCATGCATCATGATAACGTTTTACCATTTACTCTGAGGAAATGCTAATAAGTGCTTGTTTCCCCTCCAGTGACAATGTGACAGAGGAGGATTTACGACTGCTCTTCTCAAACTCCGGCGGTACAGTGAAAGCGTTCAAGTTTTTCCAGTAAGAACCTTATGCTTTGCGTTTTCTCAGTTTTATGTGTTTGTTCCTAGTCATCACTGTTTGATTTTTCTGCTAGAGATCGCAAAATGTCTCTGCTGCAGATGGCCACGGCCGAGGAGGCAATTCAGGCCCTCATCGACCTTCACAACTATGACATGGGCCGCGGCCACCGTCTGAGAGTGTCCTTCTCAAAGTCCACCATCTGAGGACCCGCTGGTGCTCTCTTACCTTTCCTCTCTCTCCCCCAGGAGCCTCAAGTCCAGTTCAGTTTTATTTGTACCAGTCATTCCTTAACACCATATCAAAAACTTCAATGAGAATGGCCCTAAAGGAACACTCGCTCTCTATCTGCTCCTGCTATTTGTGTTTGGCCAGCTGTTATTCTGTTTTAGGATGGATTGACAAAAATGTGCCTTACTTAGCAAAATAGCGTCATCTTTTTTGCTCCCATTGACACAGGTTATAGTAGTTCAGTCACATTACACACAGTGTGTTATTTTTACAATCACCTGGCTTTGTTGTTTTGATGGTTTCTGAAAGTGATATTTAGCTTTTGCCCAATGTGTTTTCATTTGGTCTTTGATGAAAAAATTGATGAAGCTTTGAAAGCTAGGCGACCTTTTTTTTAACGTCTGTTGAATCTGAAGATAAGTAAGCAAATTTGATGGAGCGTACTCCATTTTGTAAATGATCTTCTGCATTTTTTTATTATTTAGGGCTGTAGTATTATTTCGTTTTCTTTGATCAGGCATCCGAGGTACTTTCTGTGATTGAAACCTGTGGTAAACAAAACACTGGCAGGGGGGAGCATCGTGTGTGACGTGTAGTACCTGCTTTGATATTTCTCACTTTTGCTTCAGTGAATTCTGTTTCCCGTTTTTTAGATGAAAATCCGAGCATGTGCTGATGGATCTCGGCAGTTGCATGTGTCAGATTGACCATGTTTGATGTTGTGAATTCACATTAATGTAGGGACTGTTGGGACCAAAGTAAATGTGCCTTTAGTCTTACTTTATTCTGCATTGTACAAAATGTTTTATTCAACCTCGGGAATATTTTTATCAACGGAGACTTTCCAACAGACATCACTCACGTGAAAGATCCATAATTGTCTTTGATTGTGGTTTTGATAGAGAATCGCTCGCTGATTCTATTGCAAAATTACCCTTTTTCTTCTTTTTTGTGGTTTAGACCTAAGAAACCAATGGGAGTGGGGGTGTTCTGTACATTTTTTACATGAATTGAGTTTTTACATCTTTAGGAATGTAATGTTCAGTATAGAAGCGGCACAATTAAAAGTTCATTTTTCTACCAAGTTTGTGCTTGACGGTCCCTGTGTGGTGTAGTGCTTTTATCCTGTAGCATGCTGAATAAACTCTTCTCGCTCTGCATTCACCTCTGCCTCTCTGCTGTCTCTTTCTCTTCCTGTACTGTCCTCTGTATCTCACTTAGCTCTTTTCCTCCGATTACACTCTTTCCAGGCTCAGGAAAAACACTCGCCAGAGTATCAATACACACAATTGAAGTAAAAAAAACAAAAAACAGAAAGGATGTAATCTTTGGCTGATTATCTAACTTTCCCCATCACGTCGTCATGTGTTTTTGTTTCATTTTCTGTTTTCATGCTTATCCCTGTATCTTTGTCCACTTTGGTCACTTCAAGTATGAATTGAATATCAGTGTGCCGTTTTTGTGTCCCCACAATTTTGTATCTGAGAGCAGGGTGCTTGGTTCACAGATTGGTAACTGTGTTTAGTTGCATGCAGTACAATGGAAAAACGTGCTTACAGTATCCCGCCTTTCAATATGTGACTGATTGTGCATTGAAGTGGTTGTTTGTCTGCTGGAGAAAAGACAATCAACTGGCACCGATTTAAGCTGAGACACGAGTTACATAAATTGCAGCTTGCACCGTTTTTCGTGAACCAGTATAAACCGAAGCGTAGTGCTAAGAATCCTTCTGGGAGAGTGTTTCTTTTTTTGTTAAGCATGCTGTCTTTTTTTGAAGAAAGAAAGCGGCTTTCACTGACTACAATGGCTTTCCTGTAGTTGAACATAAAGGAGATTCAGTATTTTGGGCTTGTGTTGCCTCAAGCTTTGGGTGCTTAGAATCATAAAATCTGGATATTTTGCAGTGTAGAACAGTGTGATAAGGGTGTTTTCTTCAAATGCTGTAGGTCTTCTTGAAGCAAATAACAAACACTAAAAAAAGAAGCTAGTAATGTTTACACCAGTGGTTCTCGACACCTTTTTTGAGTCAAAAGTCAAATCAATGCAAATCACCTGGCTAATTATGTGCTGAGACCTAAATTACTTCAAATATAACACAACTGGGGTCTCATTTATAAATATGGTGTACACACAGAGCAGGGGTAGAAATGTGTATGCCAATTTCTATGCAAAAGTTGTGATCTATAAAAACTAAAATAAAAATAAAAAACTCCTAAGATTTACTTAATAAAGTCCCTGTAACTATTTGCACATGCAAAATTTAAGTAAATTTTATATCATGTACAATTAACTTGTCAATATTTAAAATGTACTTATTTTTTTTAGGAGTGTTAGGTTAAACATTAGGTAAAAGTAATTGATTTTCTTCAATTTTGAGCCTATATTTAGCTGTTCTTTTTTGGCAGAAGGAAAATTGCTTTCATCAGATTAAGTTAATTTGTTATTAAGTTAAATGAGTACATTTGAAAGGAATTAATTAAATTAAGACACTTATTTCCACTGACTTGAAATGTGTTATTTCATTTTATTTTAAGCAAATTGAACCCAAGAGCAAATTTAGGGATCTCAGAACTAGTGTTAGCAAAGCTATGTTTTTCTGAATGAACCTTAATGTTGGTATAAAAACTGGCAAGACCCAAAACATGAGTACTCTTCTGGAAGGTGGTAACCTTAAAACAACAACAAAAAAATAATCTTCAAACTAATTAGGATTAAATTCTCACGAGATTGCTTTTATTTTAAAAATATTAATCTAATTTAATCCCATGCAAAACTAGACATCGATTACTACATATACAGTACAATAATATTACTAGGTTTGAAAATATTTAAATGTTACAAGTAAATGAAAGTTAATATTTAACTTTTTCCACTCGTTTCATTTAATACATCAAGATAATGTTTAAATGGTGAATATTTTGCTTAGAAAAATCTAGTTATCTTTAAAAAAATTATAATACAATATAAAATGTTGACAGTATATTAACTAGATTTTACCACACCAAAAAGAGTTTTTTTTTTATTATTATTATTGGTGATGGGAGAATGTGGTAATCATTTACCTTGAAGATTGACTTAATTGAACATCTATTAATAATCATATGGCCCATGAGCATACATAAATAAACATGTTGTCCATGTTTAGGAAGGTTTCTAGGTAAATTTTATACATCAGATCCCTGGTCAGTTATTCAAAATAAATCTGGAGATAAAAAAAAACAACAACAACAACAAGCATTGTGTCTATCTGCCTTCATCACTGAAGGCCAGTTTTGTTCTTAAATCAAAATGGTCATGTTTTAGCTGTTTATCTGTGCAATAATGCAAATATCTAATCATATAACCATATGGCAGCGATATTTAGACATGGTCAAGATGATCTCCTACTATTTAAACTGAGCATCAGAATGGTGAATAAAAATCATTTATGTGACTTTGCACATTGCCTGGTTGTTGGTGCCAGAAGGACTGTACTTCAGAAACTTGTTTTTATGCTTTTTTTTTTTTTTTTTTTTGCACAACTGCTTAGAGCAGGGATCACCAATCTCGGTCCTGGAGGGCAGGTGTCCCTGCAAGGTTTAGCTCCAACTTGCCTCAACACACCTGCCTGGATGTTTCAAGTATACCTGATAAGACCTTGATTAGCTTGTTCAGGTGTGTTTGATTAGGGCTGGAGCTAAAATCTGCTGGACACCGGCCCTCCAGGAACAAGCTTGGTGACCACTGGCTTAGAGTTTACAGAGAAGAGAAAATGCTAATTGAGTTGTGGGTAAAAATACCTTGCTTATGCCAAGGGTAAGAGGACTGACCAGATTGACCAGACTGGTTTACGCTTTTAGAAAGGCATTCGTTATTCAAAGCACTCACTTCCACCAAAGTCTACAGAAGAGTATATCTCTCGCAACATGTTTAAGACTGAACCATGTGAGCTACAAAAGCAGACAATTTGCAAAGGCTCCATATAATTGCAATACAACATTGGAAGTTGCATTTGGATGATAGGGTAGAAAAGAATTTGGAATTAATGACACAAAATGAATCCACTCTGTCTTAAATTAATATTAGTAAGCTTTGTGGTAGTGTAGTAAAGATGCGGGGAAGATTTTCTTCCATGCATGGGAGCTCTTATACCCACTGTGCATTGTTTAAATGTCACAGCCTATCGGAGTATTATTGCCAATCATGTCTGTCCTCTACGACTACAGTGTATTCTTTTAATGAAGGGTAATTCCATCAGGATAATACACTATCCCCCGGTTTAATAAAATGTAAGCCTGAGCTGTTTCAAATGAAAAAAAAAAAAAAAAACTATTTGTACTGAATGATCTGCACATTTTTAGATTTTCACATATTTAGTTTTGCTTGTGTGTGTGTGTGTGTGTGTGTGTGTGTGTGTGTGTGTGTGTGTGTGTGTGTGTGTGTGTGTGTGTGTGTGTGTGTGTGTGTGTGTGTGTGTGTGTGTGTGTGTGTGTGTGTGTGTGTGTGTGTGTGTGTGTGTGTGTGTGTGTGTGTGTGTGTGTGTGTGTGTGTGTGTGTGTGTGTGTGTGTGTTGTGTGTGTGTTGTGTGTGTGTTGTGTGTGTGTGTGTGTGAGATCCGAATTAGATTTGCAGTTTTATGCAAAAGTTTGGCCACCCCTGATAATTTTCATTTGACTATATTTTATACCCTAGGGAAAAAGCAACATTACTGATCTGACATATCATTTATTTAATCAACAGATGCAATGCAATTTAAGTCTTAAAAAAACAGATGTGCAAACATTTGCACACACCAACAGAATAATGACCTCTTGCTGAAATAACAGCCTGTAGATGCTTTTTATAGTCAAGGATAAGTTCCTTAATTCTTGCTGAAGGCATTTTGGTCTATTATTCCTTGCAAAATTTGTGCAGTTCAATCAGGTTTGATAGGTGCTGAGCGTGAACAGCCCTTTTTAAAGCAGTCCATAGATTTTCGATGATGTTCAAGTCTGGGGACTGGGATGGATATGCTAGAACAGTGGTTCTCAAACTTTTTTTTATCAAGGACCACCTCAGAAAAAAATAGTCTCCTCAAGTACCACCAAAATGAGCAGTATTGAAATACAGTAGCGCAGTAGGCCCAGTAAAGCAGCTACAACTCTGCACAGTTAAAAAATGTGGCAGATTACCTCAGAAAAATAGACTATATGTCATAAATGTCATATTATATACATAATTTTTGATAAATTTTGAAATGTGTATAACATGTACATGACATTTCATTCCTCTGTGTGCCACTAGAAGGAAGCCTGCGTACCATTAGTGGTACACGAACCACAGTTTGAGAACCACTGTGCTAGAACATTGTTTCATGTCTAACCGTGAATTCCTTGGTTGATCAGGCACTGTGCTTTGGGTCATTGTCCTGCTGAAACATCCAATCCTGGCGTAACTTCAGCCTCTTGACTGCTTTCTGAACATTGTTCTTCAGAATCTGCTCATGCTGGGTGGAATTCATGCAACCTTTAACTCTGACAAGGTTTCCAGTACCTGTTCTTGCCACACATACCTACAGCATGATGGACCCTCCACATATTGTACAGTAGGGAGCATGTTCTTCTCCAGAAATGCTGTGTTCTTTTTCCCTCATGCAAAGTATCTATGGTTGTGGGATCTGCCCACAGTATATTTTTCCAAAAAAATGTATGTTGCAATTAATCAGCACTAAATGACTACAGGTTTTGAAATCCACAAAAAAGACTTTTGCATAGTCTATTTTTCAGTGTCAAAATACTGCTACACTACGCATTTCTGTCTGAACAACAAGACATTATCTAGCTTTCTATAGAAATCAAATGGCATATCGATGATATCTCTTATAGAGAAAGCAAGTTACTATTCAGTGTGGTGCCCAAACCTTTGCATGAAACTGTATGTGCTAAACTGTAATATCACATTTGCAAATAAAGCACCGTTTCCATACAGCGAGTCAGAAATATTTTTTATCTTTCCAATAAGCTAGCACCTAATATCAAAAAGAAAAATTGAATTTGCTATTTCTGGAAAAGCCACTGTTAACCTTTTTTACTGTCGGCTGAAGACTAAATGCAATGAACACTCAATGGCTATTGGAGGCATAAGACTGCTCTTACATTCGCAGCGCAGACATTCAAGACAGTTCTGGGGAGTAATAATATGGGAAC